ACGTATAGTGAATGTTTTATTCCGAACAAATCAATACTGAGTATATATAAGGGTATTCTTTGAACTCTTTCAGGGCTTAGGTGGTGGGTGGCCTAGTGGGAAAACCAGCAACGTGCTGTGATTTCTGCTTAAAATACAGTGCTGGATTGACAGATTTTCTGAGCACAGGGACAAGGTGTGTCCGGATAGAGCATTTCTCACAGAAGGCAATCTCATAACTCTGCTCAGTGGACCGTGAAAGTTTGAAAATAATCGCAGACTGAATTGCCACTCTGACACAATATTGTGATGGCATCATAATCTGTGAAGCAAGGTTAGTCACATATGGGACCTGGAGGAATAGCATCAGCATATGCTTTTCAAGCATGCTGATTATCAAGATGTACACCACAGCACTGTTTAATTCTTGATTGTGATTGGTCAATAGGTGTTGATTAATTTTCTATAACAGCAGCTCTGAAAATAGTACCGGCTATAAGGCAAATGCACTGGTTCTAATACATTATCATTTCTATAGTAACAGCAGACTAGTATGGTGGATGCTCCATGTACTTTTTTGTCTTATTACCTTCAAGAGTGAAAAACTGGTGTAGGTGCTATAATCTGTGAAAACAGTGAAAGTGAAAACAGAAATTAACTTGTTTTGTGATTAAATGTAACTCTAAACTGATTTAAAAAAAAAAACAAAAGTATCTATGCTTTGCCGTCAGGATGCATCACATCACAACGCTGCTGATTATTTTCCTATAGCAGCACAACCCCAAGTGTTTTACTCCTTATATATATATATATATATATATATATATATATATATATATATATATATATATATATATATATATATATATATATATATATATATATATATATATATATATATATATAAAGGAACACTTTTTAATCAGAGTATAGCATCAAGTCAATTAAACTCCTGGGATATTGATCTGGTCAGTTAAGTAGCAGAGGGGGTTGTTAATCAGTTTCAGCTGCTTTGGTGTTAATAAAATTAACAAAAGATGTACTAGATAGGCAACAATGAGACGACCCCCAAAACAGGAATGGTTTTACAGGTGGAGGCCACTGACATTTTTTCCCCTACTCATCTTTTCTGAATGTTTTTCACTAGTTTTGCATTTGGCTAGGGTCAGTGTCACTACTGGTAGCATGAGGCGATTCCTGGACCCTACAGAGGTTGCACAGGCAGTCCAACTCCTCCAGGATGGCACATCAATACGTGCCATTGCCAGAAGATTTGTCTCCCAGCACAGTCTCAAGAGTATGGAGGACATTCCAGGAGACAGGCAGTTACTCTAGGAGAGCTGGACAGGGCCGTAGAAGGTCCTTAACCCATCAGCAGGACCGGTATCTGCTCCTTTGTGCAAGGAGGAACAGGATGAGCACTGCCAGTGCCCTACAAAATGACCTCCAGCAGGCCACTGGTGTAAATGTCTCTGACCAAACAATCAGAAACAGACTTCATGAGGGTGGCCTGAGGGCCCGACGTCCTCTAGTGGGCCCTGTGCTCACTGCCCGGCACCGTGGAGCTCGATTGGCATTTGCCATTGAACACCAGAATTGGCAGGTCCACCACTGGCACCCTGTGCTTTTCACAGATGAGAGCAGGTTCACCCTGAGCACATGTGACAGACGTGAAAGGGTCTGGAGAAGCTGTGGGGAATGTTATGCTGCCTGTAATATCGTTCAGCATGACCGGTTTGGTGGTGGGTCAGTGATGGTCTGGGGAGGCATATCCATGGAGGGACACACAGACCTCTACAGCCTAGACAATGGCACCCTGACTGCCATTAGGTATCAAGATGAAATCTTTGGACCCATTGGTGCAGTGGGTCCTGGGTTCCTCCTGGTGCACGACAATTCCCGGCCTCATGCCCTGGTGGCATCCTTTCATTCCTAACACATTAGGAATATCAGTAGATATTATCAGTCCATATCATTATAGATATCCAGCATGATATTTTTCCCCACTGAGATTTGATGTGTTTTCAAAGTGTTCCTTTAATTTTTCTGAGCAGTATATATATATATATATATATATATATATATATATATATATATATATATATATATATATATATATATAGTACATAAGCACAAATTACATGTCACTTAAACACAAAAAGGATCTCCACTTGACCGGGATGAATACAACTCTGCAATGTTTATAGTCTATACTATATACTGTATAGTATATAGTATATTCTATAAGCATTTATAGTATATATAGGATATACTATATACTGACTTGTAATCAGAGCCTAAAATACACCATAGTCCTCTAAAAAGAACAGAGAGAAAAATGGAGAGGAAGAACAAAAGTGATAAGTATAAAAAATGAGTAAGAAAGTTTAAAAAAAGAAGTAAGGAAAAAGAAAAGAGTGTGAAATTATGAGTGTGAGTTTAAACAAAGCTGCGGATTGGTCAGAAAAAGAAGAAGCAGTAGCAGTGGAAAAATCTGTCCAGTAATAAAATGTACTAAGATCCCAGATCAGGTCTCAAGAGAATATAAGTGCATTTTCATCACATACATTCCGATAATTCAACGTCATTTCTAAACAATTAATTCATTTTAAACAATAATCCAATGAAGGGTTAATTTCACGGTGCTTAGAGGGATTTACTGTATGAGCAACGGGCATTAAAAAATCTTTAGCAGGATTACAGCCAGCTAAATGTTCAATACCACCACATCAAGCCAAGAATTGAGACACTCCATTGGCAGACACAGAGCTTGGATTCACCTTCAGCAAGAATTAGTGTTAAATTAAGTGGAAAAATATCTAAAGGAGCTCATAAATGTTCATTAGGCCTGTCAAAGAGTGAGGTATGGGTTTAGGAAACACAATGCTAAGGAAACAGATGCTAAGGAAAGAAACGTACAGTACGGTCCAAAAGTCCACTGAGATCGGACTCATTCTAGCAGTGACACTGTTCTAACATACATTAAGAGATTAATTAGTTCACATTTTATAGTGTTATGGAACAACAGCAACCAGATCATCTCTGATATTGCAAAGGTCATTCACTCTATGTATCTGTTACTGCCTCCCCAGCAGGGCTGGGCAATATGACGATATAATATCGATATCACGATAAATTATGTGATAGTACAGTTTTTGAGATGCCGTGGATATCATGATATCTTTTTATACACTTTTAAATAACGTGAATCTTTCATGTTGCAAAATCTTTAGAAGTTACGAGGTAATTTATTTTGTACACATTAAATAAAAAGCATCAAACAAATTTTAAAGGTTTATTATTAATAGAGCATGAATGTTTTGCTGGTAATTTGTTGGGAAACATATATTGTGATACATATCATGTATTGCAGAAATGTCTTCAATATCATGATCTGATATTTTTGTCACATCACCCAACCCTACTCCCCAGACCCTCTCTTAGCTCAGATGCATGTAAGTGAGGAATAAAACATAATGAGGTGCGTTATTATAGGAAAATAATCAATAACAGGGTTAACAGAATGTGCCAAAGTGTTTTATTCCTGTTATACCACAGCAATCTGCCAGCAATTACAATCTTTTTATTTACTAAAAAAATGACACATCATCTGTTTATTTAATGCTGTGAATGTGAGTTAGTTCCCGTTATCACTTACATTAGAACATCTATAGCAGCAGGTGTTACTTCACCAGCTTCTCATTTTTCCTTTTTCTTTAAGTTATTAAGACAAAACATTGCTGCTTGTCACGTTAGCAAGAAGCCTGAAAGCAAAACTTCCTCTGTCCTGAAAAATTTCCCATGTCAGAAAACTTAATGGAACACCTCTGTTACAAAGTGCTGATACTGGAGACTCTTTTAAAAGGTGTATTTATCATTTACCTTCTGCATATTTTCGCTTTAATGCCTTTTGATCTCTGCATTTGCCTGATGTGGATATTTAACCCCTGACATGGTTTTGAGTGATTGTGGATTTTGGAGTATTGGCATAAAATAATCCTATCACTAAGAATCAATATGAAATCTGCAAGTGAAAACAAATTGTACTCTAAGTCATGAAAACTCACCTTGCTGCACTGCACACTCTCACTGTCTTAAAAGGAATGAGCTGATGCACGCCTAACCACATCTCTTGATAAGGTATTCAAATCAAGCCTTTTTTACATTTATGCTGCTTAATAATTAACAACCTTAAATGGGCATATGTTTCTTAAGGTCACAATAAAAAATCTGCTATAGCTAATTATAACTCAAATAAACCAAGTGTCTCTATCTACGTCCTGCAGGATTACAAACCACACCCCTTATAAAGCGCGCCAACTATTAAAAGTTATGCCACAACAAATACAGTTAGGGATATCGTTAGGGTTAGGGAAACTGATTAAATTTGTGCACCTATCTTAAATTCGGCATGGGAATGTTGTGTAGTGTGATTTTCTAGTAGGCGTTCTTTGTAATACACGTTCCTTGTAATAGACATGGTTTGTAGTCTTGCAGGACACAGACAGGCTCTTCTCAAATAAATGGGTAACATCAATTCTGCGTTAGCTAATGGGCTAGCTAGCAGGATATTATGTTACCACCTGCACCGTGTTACCACTCTACGCCTTGTTTTTGCATGTTTCGCGAAAAATGTTCAGGAAAATAGACTCCTATAAAACTTACGTTAGGTCAGTGTCTTACCTCTAACCTATAGGGTTTAGGAATGTAGACTATAAAGCGGACAGTTTCTGAAATCTGATTGTCTGAGCCACATTCAAAGTAGTTCTAAAATCGTTAATATGCACACACATATGAACCTGTCACAATAATTGAAGTGTTATATTAATGAGCGAAATTGTTGTTTCTCTTTCAGCTGCTCCTGTTAGGGGTTGCCACAGCAGATCATTGGTCCATGTATTTGATTTGGCACAGTTTTTACGCCGGATGCCCTTCCTGACGCAACCCTCCCCAATTTTATCCAGGCTCGGGACCAGCACTGAGAGCGCACTGTTGTTCGCAACCCCAGGGGCTGGGTTCAGTTCCCTGGCCAGGAATCGAACACAGGCCGCAGTGGTGAGAGCACCAAGGCCTAACCACTAGTCCTCCAGAGACCATATTAAGTAAACCAAGTAAACCAATAAAATAAACCAATAAACCTGTTCCATAGAAAACCTAACCCTAAAACCCTATCTGTCCATAGAATACAGCATTACATTGTTTGGACACTTACCTGTTGCAGTGCATAGTGGGACTTTATTAATGCCATTATGTCATTAATGCTTTCGGACATGACAGCTCCCCAAAACAGAGCATAGTGAACAAGGGGTGTTTTCAAAGAACTGTACGTTTTAATAAATGTGTATTTTTTCTTAAATTTTATGGACTTTTAACTCAACCTGTCATACCTTGAAATCCTGTAATTACCTCTGAAAGAAAATTGGACAAGGCCCTGTAATCACTGTCTAACACAACAATTAGCTTGCAGTCAATTACAGAGCTTACAGGGAAGCATTTGCACCAGTAAAACTAAAATTTTGTGTGTGTGTGTGTGTGTGTTCCTACGTGTTTGCATGCGAGAGAGAGAGAGAGAGAGAGAGAGAGAGAGAAAGAGAGAGAGAGAGAGACTTTTTCTGTTAACCTAAAACTTATTAGAATGCTAATGTAGCTAAGTGCAACTCAAATACAGGAGTAACACTAAAAGCCTGCCTGCTAATAGGCTAATTAGCGGTTAGCATACATGATTAGCTCTCAGCAAACCTGACAGAGAACACAGAAACACTGTAATACACCTACATTACATTACATTACGTTACAAACAGTAACAACTTTATTACATTATTTTATTAGCACCTGAATGCTACATTGCTAGTATGAATGCTAGCTTGACACAATGCTAGCATATGGAACAGAGCCAGAAGCTGTCTAAAATGCTGCAACAGTTGTTGTTTCCTTTTATATAAAAGAAAACAGTGTACCACAGAGTAATAACTTAATAAACTGTTGTTTTAAATTCTTATCATGTCTTGTCTTAATAGTCTTCTGTTCGTAGCCAGGCAAATGAAAATAAATTTTGTTTACTTTGTTTCTCTCTCTTTGGTTGGTAAGTATGATTAAACACACTCCTTACTACTTTGCAATGGACCATGATGGATGTTTCCAAGACACACACGCGCACACACACACACACATACACACAGCAGCCTAGGGACTCACACAGATAGAGACCGATTATACCATTTCAGAGAGGCACGAGTGTGTTTCACGTGCTTTGTGCAAATGACTAATTTATGTGTCATGGTATTTGTGGGGTTCTTCGAAACATCAGTGCCAGAGGTGTGAAATTCATGATAAAAAAAAGTGCACCATCTTTCTTTTTTGCAAACCAAAATACAATTTTACAGATGTTGTGCTGTCAACCGAGGGTCCACATAAAGCTAAAAAATCTTAATTTTATGTCACATGACATCAACACACCCTGCTGAAAAAAAGCAATAGGGAAACCATCAAAGAAATTCTAATGGTTTTTCCACTACAAATACCATTACAAACCATCAGCTAACCATTAAAACCATTACCGGTCCTTAATGGTATCCACTAGACACAACATGCCACCAACAGAAAGCAACAAATTACCAGTAGAGACCCACAGGGACCATTCGAGTTTCCATTAAAACCAATATTATAACCATTAAAACCATTACATGTTTTATGGCCGACTACAAAATGGCTAATTACTTAATATGCCACTAATGAAATGTGTTTTATATGAGAGGCGGTGTGGTACAACGAGCATAGTGAAACATTTCTGATACACTTCTGTTTTTAGAGAAGCAGAAGTCAGAAATGAAGCAGGGACGTGTGTACGTGTTTGTAGTGGCACGCAAACATGAAATTGTGCTTCATGCTGAGTTACAGAGCTTCATTAATGTTAACATCATATTCAGGCAACAAAGCAACACAATAAGCAACACTTTAGCCTCAGCCTCCCCCATGTCCTTCTTCATGTGTTTCTTTCTTTCTTTCTCTTCCCAGTTGTTTTCTTTCTTTCTTTTTCTCTTTTCCTATTTGTTTTTCTGTTTCTTTTCTCATCTGTCTTCTTTTTTCTTTCTTTATTTATTTCTTTCCTCATTCCATTTCTTCATTTTTCCACCTTCTTTGTCCGCTTTCTTTTTTGTTCTCTTCTCATTTTTCTTTTTTCTTTCCTCCTTTCTTTCTTTTCTCAGTTGTTTTCTGTCTTCCTTTTTTCTCTCTCTGTTTGTCTTTTATCTTTCTTTCTTTGTTTCTCTTCTCAGTTGTCATCTATCTTTCTTTCTTTCTTTCTTTCTTTCTTTCTTTCTTTCATTATTTGTTTTTCTTTCTTTTCTCTTTCCCCATTTGTCTTTTATCTGTTCTTTCTTTCTTTTTTTGTCATTTGTTTTCTCACTTTCTGTGAATGTGAGCTTGTGTGTGTGTGTGGTACCCTGTGATGGACTGCATCCATTGTTCTCAGGAAATCTCTGGCTCCCCTGCGACCCTGACCAGGATAAAGTGGTTACTGAAGATGAATGAAATTAATGAAGCTCCTCAGAGAAACTTTGCTTCTTGGCTCATTTTTGGTACTGTAAGCTGTTTTGCCAACACTAAAAGAACAAACGTGAATTTCAGAGGTATCATGAGATTTGTTCACAGGGTAATGCTAAATCTGGGCACAGACTTCTAAAAACTTGATGAATGAGGCTTTTTACGCTACAGTTCAGACTCTGAACCTGCGCTCTCTTTCTGTCTGCGCTTCAGCTCTTCTCTGCACATTTTCCCCAATATTGGCAGATTAATCTCGCTTGGCCAGCTAACTCCAAACCATTTATTTCTCAGAGTCAGACTCACTGTCACTCCCTAACTCATTTTGTTTTTTTTCTCATACATGATAGTACCTTAACACTTCCAGTGTTAGGTGCTGACTTCACCCTATTGACCCCTTGTATTACAACCTTACAAATACACTCACACAGCCACTCATTTTCAGTAACCGCTTTATCCTGGTCAGGGTTTCAGTGGATCTGGAGGCCATCCCAAGACAAAAAGTGGCAAAGTTAGCTATTAGACTGAAAAAGATAAATGATGTTAGGGCAGGTTTTGGAATATAAAAACAGCAAGGGGTGAGAGTGATGAATTCATGAAGAATTATCCGTCATCACAGTGTGATGTTTCATGTCAAATGTGTCGAGAAACACTTGCTTTTTTTTTATTATTGTATTTGTCAGAATAGTTTTAATGAGGATTACATCTTATTCCGGTTTAAAAACATTTAAACACAGTTACTGCATACATTACATAGGGTGTACAAAGGAACTTGTGTTTTTTTTCTCCCACTCTTTGAGTCTGCCACTCCGTGAAAGGTACAATACACCAATACTCCCAAGTGACGTTCCTGTAGTGACCCTTATACACAGAAATAAGAGGTTATTAAAATAAAGCACTAACCGTGAAGCACGTTTGTCAAGTGCATCCGTGAACGTGTCGGTTCAGCTTCACTCACAGCTTTTGTAATTAAGGGAGTCATTGATTTCTTCGCTAACTGTGAGGTAATTAAACCAGCAAATCTGAAATGTCACGGGGTTTCAGTGGAGCAAATCAAGGAGGAGGCACCGCCTGCCTTGTTGGCCCCTTTTGGCTATTTATTGGAACCACAGTTTTTTTATTACAGAACTTTCCATGCACAGGAAACAATTTCATCCAAAATGTTATTAGGTCCAGGCTGATACCATTTATAGACCTACTTGTTTTTGAGTTATTGAGGTTTAGATTAAACCTGTTCATGTAACCAGTCATATGGGGTAATAACTATAATTCAAGTCAAGTGGTTTTTATTGTTATTCCTCTATATAGCTAGTATACATCAGATCAAAATGTCTTTTCTCCAGGAACAACATAGAACCATACGCAAGACTACATAAAGTGCACTACACCACAGTGTGAGACTAGTGCAGGACAATAAATGTACAATAGATACACAGGACAGTGAAGACACAGGACACAACATACACAGAACATGGGCTGTAAACTGTAAGCTATTTTGCAGTGTAGCAGCAATAAGTATAGCTCAATAATAACTCAATAATAATAAATATACTCACTTTTCGATACTGGTTGCCAACACTGTAACTAAATGAAAAAAACAACAGCACAGACCCCCTGGCTCCTGGACCCCATGTTGAGAACTACTGGCCTAAACAACCAAACACACTTTTTTCTAGTTACTTTAGGTTAATCCACTAGCTAGCATTAGCAATGAAGATTAGAACTATTTGTGAATATTTTAAAATCCTCTCAAAAAGCGTGTTAGTTTGTTGGTTACTGTTAGGAGTGAACATTGTTAACATCAATAAAAATAAAAAAAATATAAAAATCCTGTCTGAAATCCTGTCAGTTTAGCTCATGTTAGCCAGCAGTCTAGCATTAGCAGCGAAGAATATGAACATATGAATATGAATTAAAAATCCTTTTTGTCAGTTTAGCTCATGTTAGCCAGCTGCCTAGCATTAGCAGCGAAGAATATGAACATATGAATATGATTTTAAAATCCTGTCAGGTTAGCTCATGGTAACCAGCTGTCTAGCATTAGCAATGAAAAATTTGAACATATGAATAAGATTTAGAAATCCTTTCTGTCAGTTTAGCTCATGTTAGCCAGCTATCGAGCATTAGCAGTGAAAAATATGAACATTTATGAATGCACCTTAAAAATCCTTTCTGTCAGGTTAGTTCACGTTAGTCTGGTGTCTAGCATTTGCAGTAAAAAAATGTTAACATTTATGAATACAGCTTTAAAATCCTTTGCTAATTAGCTAATTTTTTAAACTGAGCAGTTGAGGATTAAGGGCCATGCTCAAGGGTCCAGCAGTGGCAGGATTTGTACTCATGACTTTAGTAGTCCAACGCCTTGAACACTGAACTACCAGAGCCCTTTAAAGCCCCACTATCAATAGCATATAAAATGGAGCTGTAAATTGGGCGATGTGCTACTAAGAACATGCTGTAATTAACTAGACCTAACTGCTCATCCTGGGTTGATTCAGCAAACATGAAAGATTGTTGAACAGCTGAAACTGTTTGCCCCCCTGTGACGGATACA